AGGTAAATTCCCTATACTGTAAATATTGAATTTAAATAATATTATAATCCCGCTACTACTGAATAATCCGCCAGGAAGAAATTTCTTATAATTATAAGCTTACATTTTGCTTGTTTCAGAAACCAACAGTTACAGCACGCCCAACATATTAAAGACATCGCTTTACCCTATACATTCAAAGCAAAATTATATTTCCTGTTGCAATCAACCGTTAACACACCTTGATGCATATACACCGCATTACCATACCACACCATACGTATTTGACCTCTTGGGACTTGTTCAACTTTAGAAATGATATCATGTGCAGAATTCACAGCAATCACGAGACTTTTACATTCCTCACATATAGACAAGATCCCGGATCAGATTAAATTATTCATTGGTGGTAATTTCTATATAGATGGATTAATAATATATCCGTCGTATGTTTAAGTATTTCTACATTGCCTGTTGAAGGTGTCAAAACACCAAGTAGACCATATGACATATAAAGGAATAGGTCAGGTCATCCAGATCAGGCGGTGTACTGAATTTGCAAATTCTTCAGATTCACTTATAATGGCTTGTCTTTCGGTTAAACATCGAACAAAAATACCCGATAGTAAAGTCAGCTATTCGCACGACTTCCTGAATTCTTGTGTGTTGAGACTGTTGTATTTGATAGGGTCACAAGGTTGCAATGACCGACTATATACTTTTTTTACAAATAACACTTAACTTGTGTAACATGCCAGTTGTTCGCTTTGTCAGACCTTTTACTGATATCATATAAATCAAACATCATATATTTCCGACAAGAATTTCTTTTGGCTTGATAAATATTACACTATTTACACAATAGCAAATGGACACAGTCTGAATATGTATTTAATAATTTACAAAGTCTGTCAGATATGCCGAAACTTGCAATATTTTGTTTAAACAGGTAACGATGAAGTATCATTCAGATGAATAAAAACTTCCTACTATTTATGAATTGTACGCCTTAAAGTCCCATACCCAGTTCATCAGGCACAAGCAAACTCTCAAAATCCCACCAAATCCTACACGGTCTCAACAAATAACTATAAATCTTGCAGGTGCCAAATGTCAAATTCATTAGAAACTTGCCCGTATAGCTCTCAGGAAGTTAGGTCTGCATAACGTGTCATCGAAGCAAATGGTTTTGTGATAAGCTCAGTCACTGCAAACCACGACCTGTCGGCCGGTAGTGGTACCGTTATTAGCTTCCAGTAGGGAGAGAGAGAGAAATGAGGTTTAACGTCCACTCGACACAAACTAGGTCATTTCGGGACTAACATATGGTTTAATTTTATTTACATAATTCGCTTGCGCGTAAGGGTCTTTAGCAATGGGAGGAAACCGGAGGCCCCGGAGAAAACCCACGAGATTGGACAGGCGACCCTACTCCTTGCCACGTACAATCGGGGATTCGAAACCATGCCAGTCGACTCAATGACAGACTTTATGATACAGCGCGCGCACGTTAACCATTCAGCCATCCAACCCCCCTAGCTTCCAGTAATAATATAACTTTATTGTTATAAAGCGTTCTACACATGCGTTTCAGAAGCGCTGTACACTGGCATATTAAAAATTAAACAAGGATGATACATACAATAAAGGTAAAATATAGCACACAAGATGAAATATAAAAACACAAAAATTAGAGAATAAACAACAGGATTAAGTAGGATATACATAAAAACAACTTCATTTGGATGGACAAGAAGTTAAATGCCTATCCGATAAATACATTTTTAAGCTACTTTTAACAGAGGGCCCATCGTTGGACTGGCGAATATGAGAAGGGAGGCTATTTCCTAAACAGGTGGCAGTAATTGAGAAAGCTCGCCATTCATATGTTTTATAGGTATGTCTGATATCTTGACTCTTAAGAAGACAAAGATTTATATTCGATGTCCTGAGATTTGATCTGCCTGGAATATAACATTCAATAAGTTTACAAAGATACGTGGGTGCTACACCTGATAATATTTTGAATACTGATATAGGGATTTTGAATTTTATGCGTTCACGAATACCTAGACAGTGAAGGCCAATAAAGATAGGGGTGACACTTTCTCTACTTCTAGCTTTTGTTACCAAACGTGCTGCCGCGTTTTGAACAGCCTGAAATTTGTCTAACTGATATTCAGGAATAACGATTTATTGCAGTAATCTAGTTTAGTGGTTACAATTAATGCATGAATTAAATTTTCAGCTTCTTGTCGATTTAACAGTGGCCTAATCTTACTTATTTTACAGAGAGAATGAAAAGCAGATCTGTAGATTTGATTGACTTGAGATGTCATATGACCATCATTGTCAAAAAGAACACCTAGATTTCTAACTGAAAGATATGGATTAACATCAACCCCACCCATTCACAAATTTTCCATATTCTCAAAATCTCGTTTGAGGGAAGATTCAAAGTGTGCGACTTATGTCTTATCGTCGTTAAGGACTAAACGATTTGACTTCATCCAATCTCTGATCTCAGCAAGACAATCGTGTATACTTCAGATAGCTTATTACATACAAGATATAGCAGAATAATCAACATACAAAAATTAAAGACAATGGCGGAAAAAAATCTTCAGGTGGGGTGGTATATAACGTAAACAAAATTGGTTCTAAGACTGACCCTTGTGTTACACCGAAAATTAATTCTAAGGATTTGGAAAAGTGTGGTCCGGATACTACCGTCTAAGTTCTTTTTGTTAGGTACGTGTTCGGAACCCATATTGACGATTAAACCAGCGGCTGCCAGGCAGGATATGCCCACATTTTCGAGAGATGGATAGAGAACAAGCTAAAAAGAAAGTGATTTTTCCTACAATCAAAGGTCATAATTCAGGAAATTACAATTCGATATGTGCAAATATCGAAAGGAACCGAGATCTTTGGGTTATAAACTTACATTTCAAGTTTCAACAAAATCGGATAAAAATTGTAACCTCTATTGGGTCCACAACCTTGATATACTGTGCCATATTTTTACGCTATTTGAAAACGAGGGGCGGCCAATTTGTCTGTCAGTTTTGGGCCGATTTTCACGAAATTCGAACTCAGTCGTCCTTAGGGTGTAACGGTGATATATTAAAACGTTTCTTTAAATCGGATAAAAATCATGACCTCTATAGGGTCATACAATCAAGGACCATAATTCAGGAAATTAAAATTCGATATGGGCGAATATCGAAAGGAACCAAGATCCTTTGATTATAAACTTACATTTCAAGTTTCAACAAAATCGGATAAAAAAATGTGACCTCTATAGGGTCTACAACCTTGATATACCATATTTTTTACGCTATTTGAGAACGGCCATTTTGTCTGTCACTTTTGGGCCGATTTTCACGAAATTCGAACTCAGTCGTCCTTAGGGTGTAACGGTGATATAATAATACGTTTTTTTTAAATCGGATAAAAATTATGACCTCTATAGGGTCGGCAAACTAAAAACGCGATTTTTCGTACAATCAGGGGCCATAATTCATGAAGTTATCGTCCGATATGCGCGAATATCGAAAGGAACCGAGATCTTTTGGTTATAAACTTACATTTCAAGTTTCATTGAAATAGGATAAAAATTGTGACATCTATAGGGTCCACAACCTTGATATACCATATTTTTACGCTATTTGAGAACGAAGGGCGGCCATTTTGTCTGTCAGTTTTGGACCGATTTTCACGAAATTGAACTGAGTCGTCCTTAGGGTGTAACGGTGATATAATATTACGGTTTTTTAAATAAGATAAAAATTATGACCTCTATAGGGTCCACGAGCTTAAAAAGCGATTTTTCGTACAATCAGGTGTCATAATTCCGGAAGTTACAGTCCGATATGCGCGAATATCGAAAGGAGCCGAGATCTTTGGGTTATAAACTTAAATTTCAAGTTTCAACAAAATCGAATAAAAATTGTGACCTCTACAGGGTCCACAACCTTGATATACCATATTTTTTTTACGCTATTTAAGAACGATGGGCGGCCATTTTGTCTGTCAGTTTTGGACCGATTTTCACGAAATTCAAACTCAGCCGTCTGTAGGGTATAACGGTGATATAATAATATGTTTTTTTTTAAATCGGATAAAAATTATGACCGCTATAGGGTCCACAAGATAAAAACGCGATTTTTCGTACAATCAGGGGCCATAATTCAGGAACTTGTGGTCCGATATGCGCGAATATCGAAAGGAACCGCGATCCGTGGGTAATAAACATACATTTCAAGTTTAAACCAAATCGGATAAAAAATTGTGACCACTATAGTGTTCACAAGCTAAAAATGGATTTTTTGTACAATCAAGTGCCATAATCCATGAAGTTACAGTCCGATACATGCCAATATCGAAAGAAACCGAGATCTTGGGGTGATAAACCTATATTTCAAGTTTCATCGAAATCGGATAAAAATTGTGACCTTTAGAGTGTTCACAAACAATTGTGGACGGACGGACGGACAGGTTGCTGCACCATTGCAAATCCCATTTGATGGTCGATTGAAATATATACATGTATATATATATAGGGTTTGAAACTTGGTGGTACCAAGACGAACATCTCCCTGTCAGGTTGACCAAATGTTACCTTTCATACCACTATCTTAAACTTTACAAATATTGGTAATACTGGTTAACAAATGATATGTGGCACAGAAAAAAATGTTTAATTCGATGGAATTATCGAAAGCATCTAATAATCCCGGATTATAGTTTTAATTAGTGGTGTATGGAGAAGTAGTTTTATATAGACAGTAGTCATGGCTTACGTTCTCTTATCTTCTATTTCCAAGATCTATTATTACTCGTCGAATTAAAAGAAACAAAAAAAGACTTGTTCAAATTAGGATTGAAAGATTAAAGTAACGACAATTTAAATAGTTTAAACAATGATGAGGAAAAGATTTGAGCCAACATGAGATCAATAAGATTACAAGACTACCGTGTGTTTACCGTGTCAATACGAGAAAGGGTTTTGGATGCTGCATGTTTCTTTAGAATACCTCACCTCTAAATTAAGTGACGTAATGCGTCGTTACTTTAGTCATATTAAAGGATGTTTTCTGAGGTACATGGACCTCCAAATATAGGTAGGAATTTCATTTTTAGTTTCTACCTTTGAATTAATTTAATTATAACACAAACCTATTTTAGATAAAGATATAAAATATACACTTTTATTTATGCCATATATCTTATTCATGATCATGATCCTCATCATATTCAGAATTGTTATTCAGAAATTGACGATTACGATTGTCTTGAATAAGCGATCTCCCTTTCTTGGTGAATTTTGGGTTTCTATTTATTCCTATAGCGAATATCAAGATATATTTGAACTGAAAACTAATTTCACAACTTGCAAAATATTTATTTTCAGATTTTCAGACATAATGTTAAAATGCCATGTAAGCAAATCATTTTTGGTTATACATGATGCGGATCACAGCGGTGAACGATTTTGTTTCGATGGCGTCATGGCATTTCGATATATGTCATATTTGATGTTAACGGCGAATTAGGCATTTTTAGTCATTCGTGGAAAACTTTGAGGGCATTAAAAACGACGATGGCGATCTGAAAACAGCCTAAAAGCGTGTGGATTTTGATTAATTTTCTTACTATAAAAGTACATGCCATAACGGTTCCAAGATTGTGATCTTTCGTGTAAAATTTCCAATATTTGATCGAAATCATCATATTACTGTTGAAATATAAAGTGCAATCTATTTCATAATTTTATAAAACGTAAGTTCTGATAACATGCTGCTGGGAGATTTGACCGTAATAATCATTTATCCCAAATTATCTAAATTTTTAGGAAAGTACGACAATGGTGGTTCCACCGTTGCTGATCAATAGTAGCGTGCATGCACTGTGATGGTCAGAATCTTTGAGGACTATGTACATTGCCTGTATGTGTACTGTTTGCGACATGAACACGTTCATCCCCTTTGGTTTGAATGTGAATTGCTATAATGCTATTCAAGTGGCCCTTTACCCTTTTCAGGCGTACATATCTGGTCCCGAGTTCACAAAGCATTCTCAACCTTAAGTTGAGAATTTGCTCAACTTTCAATCACTGTTTATGAGAAATATCTTTGATCCAGAAACACAAAACTTTGCACATAGTTTCTTATTGATATATCTGATACATTAAAACAACAAAATTATTATAAAGGGCTATATTTTAGTTAAAATAAGGCAAACAAGTTTGAGTAAATTCTCAGCTTAAGTCTGAGAATGCTTTGTGAACACGGGGTCAGGTCTTGTTTACTCTAAAAAAAAAACTAAGTGTATTTTGGTATCAGACATCGGAGTAATTTAGATTTTTCACATACTATGCGTTGCTTGCCCCTGGCTGGACTATCTTTAACGGTGCAATGGCAATGGCTCCATAAGCCATTAAACTGAAACGTCACAGGGCTGTAGAAAGAAATGGTTTGTCATAATCATTAAATATCGATGTTGTGTGAGGGTGGTTTATAGGTAGAACAAGATCTTGAACATGCCTAACTACTGATACGTGTATGGTAGTCCAGTCGCTTAGGTCGATATTTTCATAGAATCGTTCACTTTTTGACAAAAGCATGAAAATTGGCATATAGGTAGTTTTCGAACAAAGCGGGACGCACGCAATTTGACCTCATTTTCGGCCGCCATTTAGGATTAAAACTGCTATTACAGCTTCACGATACGATAGAAACTTGATCTAAGTGTCGAAATCTATGTTTCAGTACCCACTGAATTCACCAGGAGTGCTTTCACTATATTGTCATGTTTAGTTACCGAAAACACCCATCTTTGACTATTATGCTCAGAGCTTCCGAGAATTGCCGCGCATTTACGCGGTTTTCGGATTAAACTCTTTATAAACGATGTCTAGATTACTTGATGATAATGAAGCTACCATGCATTTATATGGTGGCTATCAAACTTTCTTGCAACCACATTTGATGAGTTAATTCTTTACAATGTTTGGCTGCCTCGGGAAGAGACGACCAGAAACGTTATAGATAGACCATTTGTATCACTTGTCTATCTCCAGATATTCCGGCTTGAAAGTTTCTGCTACGGTACAAAATGATGTTCAAAATAAACTTATCAAATATGGCTGCAAGACAGTCAGCTAGCCACCTTGTAAATTCATAGTAGCTTCATTATCATGTACCGAACTTTGTACCAGCGATGGAACTTGTTATCAAATGTGACCAATAAAAGAATGAATATGGTGGATGAATATTCAAGTTAGTTGACCCCCCCCCCCCGTTCAATTTATTTTCTGCATTTATTCAACTGTTACAAGCTCCTCAAGTTAACTAGAAATCGTTTATTATCGTTGATATTATAGTGAGTTTAATCCGAAAATCGCGTTACAGCCGTTTTATAGAGAAGATGAAAGTCGGATATGCATGTTTTCTGTGACGAAACTTGAAAATATGATAATGAAAGCACTTCTGGTGAATTCAGTGGTTGCTAGAACATTGATTTCGACACTTAGATCACATTTCTATCATATCGCGAAGCCAAAATCCCATATTTCAGGGGCGGCAATTTTGAATCCAAAATGGAGACCGACAATGGGGCCAGATTACGTGTGTCTCGCTCTTATTCGTAAGAGAACATCAAAAATCAAAAACTACCTATATCGTGGGCTGAGGATTAACTGGGTTTATGTCAACTTTTTGTTAAATTGAGAAAAATGGGTGTGAAGTTTTGGCATCACTGTATTTTGAAATTCTATGAATTTTTACCAAATTTTCACAGTTGTTGAAGCTATCAATATAAGAAGCGAGCAGAGTGTGTGGTGTTTCTTGATGCAGTGTGATTCAATTTGGTCTAACTGAAATACGATAAATGGAGATATGACTTTGTGGTTTACAAAATGTAATGAATTTGTCAGAAACATGGAGATGGAACTTTATGCCCTAAGAAGGTATGAATCACATAGTTGTAAAAGAGGTGTTTTTCATAAATCTCATAACATTCTGATAAATATCACGACTTTTCGGGACGAAAACAACGTTTTTGGCCTAATTTCATGCCAATTTGCGAAAATTCTGAAAGAAAACGGAAGTAAAAAGGCAAATGAGAGCCAGCGATAGTCGGAACTAAACGCACAGCCTTTGTAGTTAAAAATAACTCATGCCGAAAACTCTCCGCGTTTGGCATTCTAAGGAAATAACCTGTGTCGAGAACTCTCGACGTCCGGCACCAAAAAGCAATCCATCTCCATGAACTGTGTAAATTTTACATGTACATACAATACATGTTTGAACGAGAATTAACTAGTACTATCTCAAACGACCCCTTAAAACAAAATAAAAAAAGTCTTTTAACAAAAATTAAGTCGTCTTAAGATGCCTTATAAGATTTCATTGTCGGACAATATTGTAAGCGCCTACCAATGACTTTTCTGCCCTGGAGATTCAGCTATGCTATTTTCGTTTTCGGCCATTTTGTCACAAGATCACATGAAACCAGACCCAGGAATTCTGTTGGTGAAAGTGGAAATAAAACTTTGTGAATGGGAATGGGCCCAAAATTAAAACAAAGGCCTATGATAATTTAACTTAGAAAGCATTCCTGTATTAATTCATGCTCACAGGACATATAACACGTCCTGTTGATTCACAGATTGTGTTTATGCAAATATCTCACTTTTAGCTAAAAGTGTACATAGAACCAGTTAATTCTCGGCCCACGATATGCCAATTTTCATGCCTTTTTCAAAAAGTGAACGTTTTTTTTACTTATGCCACCTGACTGTCTGTACATAACGTACCCAACATGTAAGGACGAGTTCTAACTAAATTCAAATGTCAGATGTCTTTTTTATCAGCTTTATGCTACATTTAGGAATGTATATGAGAGTTCAAACGACTTAATTTAGAGAAATATATTGATTCTTTTTTTTCTCTTCAAATTCAATTCATGGAGCATGATCCAGGATGATTAAGTTATACTTTATACAAGATAGTTTCCTTTTGCATACACGTACACGTGTAACTATTTCCTATAGAAGCTCAAACGTCTCATATCAATATTAAAAATCACAGTAAAGCATGGTTTTAGATATGCAGCTGTTTGTAGACGATTAAGATCAATTAAAGAAGAATTCTGACTATTTGAAATCAGCAAACATGTTTGGAAACACGTCAGACGATTGAAATCAATTCTTTTTTTTTTAAAAAAAAACAAAACAACCAGTTAAAGTAAACAGATGTCTTAAGTAAACATTTTATAAACTATAAACTCTTTGTTCTCTTTCATTATTTATTTACTTTAAAATAAAATATTTGGTTAAATTTTGGCTTTATATAATCAATAAATATTAACCATAATAATTTCTGGTCTAACGCCAGGAGATGTTCTGACAATGCAATAAAACAATCAATCGATGACGTATTTCCATGCAATTATTTATACAACCCATGCACATTTTGCTTATGGCGAAGTTCCACATAGCCAAATAAATGCCAAATGTTTATGTCAATATAAATTTTATCATTTATGCGATATATTACAGATCGGGTTCAACCTACAGCGATTATTGCATAGAAAACCATGCTATGGTTATTGAAATTGTTGGTGTATATTAGTTCCGTGTATTGTATGGAACCATGTTGTACCAGTAACAAGTTTGAAACTGTTTTAGCAGAAGCTGGGGGAATATATGTGTCTAATACGACCACTGTTCCTATAGATGTGAGTATTGTCAATTTCACGTGAAGAATAAATGTAATTAATTATATGTATCATATAAAATTAACTCAGGTTAACCTAATTATCGATCATCTAAGCACTAACCTTTAGCTGGAACTGCAGGTAACTGAACACTGAAAATCGATAGGTTTCATACGCCAACTTGAAAAACAAATCTGTAAACTATTGCTTCTATCGTGTTCACAAGGTGATCATGTGGGAGGATGGGCGCTCTGTGAAGCATTGGTGACATAAAGGGATGAACCGGGCTCCCACCCCCGCTCACCCATTCTAAAAACCACATGAACAAGAAGGATGATACACTTTAAAGCAGTTTTTTCTTCATAAATTTGTGTGCAGCAATGGGGTTAAAGAGAGAACGAACCCTATCGTTTCCGCAAGCTTCCGGTCCAAAGCCCCCCCCCCCCCCCCACATGATCCCCATTACGAAAACCTTGTGAACTCAAGAAGCAATAGTTTTTAACATATATTTTGGGGTATTAACCATTGGCTTCATAAGGGTATGTGGGAGCCACCGTGGCTAAATGAGTAAACGCTAACCCAATTTTATTTCTTTTCGTAAGTGTATGAACCCTATCTATGTTTCAGTGTTCCTTGAACGGCAGTTCCAGCGAAATGGGGGTTGGGCGCGTCTAGTGGTGCGCCTAAAACCATGAGGTCTGTCATTGAGTCAACTAGTATTGTTTCGATTGACCGCTTGTACATGACGAGGAATAGAGTCGCCTGACCAAACTCGTAGGTTTTCTCCAGGTCTACCTGTTTCCTCCAACTGCTAAATAAATACCCCTAAGCACAAGCGAATTATTGAAATGAAATTGAACCATGCGTTAGTCCCGAAATGGCCTACTTTGTGTCGTAGTTTCAGGGTTATGGCCCGAGTCCGACCGCATTTCGGTAAAGATAGAGACCACGATTGTTTTTTTTTTGTTTTTTTTAAGATATTTTATTTTTAAATTGGGTGTTTGGAGTATTGGGATCATTAGTTGCCATTTTAAATCATAAATCCATTAATATTTCGTTATAAAAAAGTAATTATTTCGTTGCAAAGAAGTAATTATTTCGCTATAATTATATACAAGTGGAATCTTTCACGATATAATTATATAAGAGTGGAATCATGCACTTAAGGGGCCATCTACTAACTTAATCTGTTTGAGCTTCTTTTGTTTGTCTACTCGCAAGATTTATCCATCTAATTCTATGGAACGATCTATTTTTCTTTAAATTCTGTTACCTGATTGGAATCTTAGAAAATTGGAAAGTGCATCATCAGTTAGAGATAGGATAGGTAGCTAGTTATGGAGAATACTCTGTATGCCCAGACAGCGGAACTACGGTCTACTCTTATATCGAATTCCAACTGTCAAGGGATCTTTACGTGCACGCCAATGTGTACACGGAACCTCGGTTTTTTGTACATTCGAACGAGTAGACAACTGTCCTTGTCAGGCCCTCCGTCCTGCATCACTGACAAGGGGGAACTACGCCGGAAAATCTGGATGGACTTTCTCGGCCAATGCAGGGATCAAACACCTGACCTCCAGGCTAGCGACCCCCGGCGTCTTACCCACTTAGCTACCGTGACCCCAATATGCAAGAGAGAATTCTTGAGTTAAACAAGGTGGTGTTTAATTAACCATCTGTCTCGATTGTACGTGGAAATGAATAGAGTCGATTTCCTAACGTCGTGGGCCTTTTTCGGTTCCACCGACTGCTAAGTTATACTAAGATATATAATAAGTTAGTCCCGAAACGACCCACCGGTGTATGCTGCTCTCTCTCATAGGCGTACGGGCTCGATGACAGTTGGGGGGCAGAACCCGAAATGCCCGAAAAAATTTCGGGTTTCTTCGAGAGGCGAAGAAGCGGAGCTGACCTTGTAAGGACCCCCCCAAGAAAAATTTTGGAATATTTGACGGCCGCAAACGCGTTTTACTGCTATTCCAGCCCGTAAAATTAGTGTTTTATTAGATTTCTGGCAATTTATTTTGCCAAGTAGATGAAATAAAAAATTTTTTCACTTTACCCGTCTGCCCGAAAAGTCAGCTGCCGCCCCCCTGGCTCGTACGCCTATGCTCTCTGTGTCTCTCTCTTCTCTCTCTCTCTCGCTCGTTACCTTTAACCCAGATTAAACTTACATGCTACTAGTTATAGATATTGGTATGATTCTTTCACAATTTTCTTTGTATGCCTTTGTTAATAATTATAGACACTAACGATTGCCACTTTTACAGGTGTGGAATGAAATGTATTATGATTATGATAGAAAGATGATGACATTAGAAACTCATACTAGACTACCTGGTGGTCAGTATAAACTAATTACAATTATCATGGACTTTAAACAGGTGAGTCCAGAACACACACATTTCCTTCTTCAAGACAGCCCCAAATACAAATGCTTCTTTCAAAGAGTTAAGATTATAAAAATTTCAGATGTTGCACTCATTTGTATTTACTTATCTACCTATACTTCTTTAAAAAAGAAAATATCATGTTCTAGACGTGTTCATGGATCAAGCTCAAACAAGATCAAACGTTGTTTAATACAATATAGATGACACCAATTATATCTTTAACATTTTCTTTTATGAGCTATTGTTGTAATTACTATATATTTGGTTTCCAGCAATTAGAGTTCGCTATAGACGGTGATAATTGTACTGTTATTCAAGTAAAGGAAGGCATGCAGAAACCGTGTATACCAAGTAACTTTGACCTTTTAATATTGAGAAATAAAACTTACCAAATGTTTATTCTTAGTTGATATGTTTATTGATAAACATAAATGCTTATATTTATCAATAAACATAACTACTTAAATTTTTAAAACTAATATTCAATTCAAGAAAAATTACTTTGTCTAAGAATTTATTGTCAGTTATGAACGGGAATCTGGCCCGCTTCTGCAAATGAATCAGTACTCGATCTGAAAGTTACCCATGTTTATTGTTACCAAATACGACAGTCCGCCTCTATACATTTGACTAAACTATTTATGGTTATTGTCTATCTGTTTTCAGACGCTGCATCTTACCTGGGCACCAACTCGATAGGCTACGGTGAGGAGGTAATAAAGTTTACATCGTGGGAATTTAATACACCCGAGTCTGATGTTAGTACTAAGTTAACGGTTACAGCTAAAGATTGTGTACCACTGACACAATCGATGTATGGCACCGTTAGAGGATGTAAGTAATAGTCAATTACAGATGATTGTGCTGTCAGTCCGGAGTGTGATCTCCAAATGAGAAGTGGTAGTAGTCCGGAGTGTGATCACCAAATAAAAAGTGCTCTCAGCCCCCAAAGTATAATTAAACGAGAAGCGGTGCCAACCCCAATTTCAATAGAACATGGGTAGCTGTGTTAAATAACTTTATTTAATGTCGTTAATATTCGTAGCCGAAAAAATAATGTCTAGTGTCGTACACTACCGAGTTGTGACACCCAAATTCAGTAATTTGCCACCTTTGCCATTTATTGACATATCGGACTATTTCCGCAATGAAAGGTAGAATGATTTATGTGTAACTCACCTCTATATCCTCTTCCACGACAAAAACAAAAAAATGAAATATCATAAATGAATGGGTGATAAATAAATTCTAAAAAAAAACCATATAAATAGAAAATGAAATAAAAAGAAATCAACAGCAATCACACCGATATAATATCTCAAATTACCTTTTTAATGTTTGTATTGTTGAGGCTATTGTTGAGAAAACAGAATTTAAACAATTCTCGTATTTGTTTTTCAGATAAAACTGCTGTAAGCTTCACGTATGCTAACTTTAAGCCAAGAATAACAGATGATTCCGTGTTTGATGTCCCCAGTAAATGTCAACAGGTTTATTCACATGTGCATGTGAGTATTACATACTTCTTATTACTGTGATTGGTAACATTTTTCAAATAGTGTCTAGGTTTATTTAAGTATGTGCGACAAGTGCCAATAATTCATTGAAAAATGCACCACTTTAATCATTTTCTAGAATATTCTGTGGTCCTTAGAGATTTTGTTTCAAAGAGAGAGAAATCGGCTTTATCGTCATCTTGGGACTGACATATGGTAATTCTTATTGCAATAGGGTGCACATAGGGTTCTGTTACATTGGAAGAGAACAGGTGGACAGAGATAAAACCCATAGGTTAGGGGCATGCAACCTACGGAATCACGCCACTTGATTGTCTTATTTTCTCTAGAGCCCCAGTGGCTAGTTTGCTGTTAACTTTAAAGTACATCTATGCCTAAAAGTACAAAAATTGCATAATCGATCATAAACATTGGTATAAAATCTTGACAAATTCACATGAGATAAATCCGATAATTGAAAGTTGTACCATGTGTTCATGAAAGACTATGCATAAACGACCCCACATGTTATCCCCAATCCACAACATTTGTCTGGCATTTAATTATATACAAATATCTGAGCATAATTTTGTTTTGTATTCACAGGATACAAAACTAGCAGGACGAACTGCCTTGGATGGCATTAAAGCTATATTTACCTGACAACCCTTTAAGAGTGGTTTCCCTTGATCTCTGATATACCTTTGCGTGTATCTTGAATTTAATGTGTTGTATCCAGTGTTAAATGCATTGATATCATTAAAATATTTAAATATAATGAATCGCCTTTGTTCTTTTTTGCTATTGAAGTGTTTTGATAGCTGAAAGGCCGCTGTTTATTTGGAAATATATAGATAGAGTAAGTACTTGCGTTTAAAGTCAACTAAACACAGTTAGGTCTTTTTGAGACTCACATCTATAGAAAAGTCATATTGAAATATTTTGTCAAACCGAAAATTTCGGACCACCATTACAAGAACTTCAATTTTAAAGCACGTTTATTCATATTTAAGAGTAATGAAGAATTTTACCTAATTATTCAGGAACATGCAGATCAACATCACCAAGTGTTTCTATATTGACAGGTTTAATTTTGTAAGATGCTGATAAATGTGTTTAATCTCTTTAAATTGTCAGTAGAAGTGTTAGCTATTAGGATGAGAGCCAACTAGCGGCCATTACGTGATGTTTGACAAACCATCTTGGAACAAGGTAGATTATACACGCCATGTTTACCGCCATCTTTAATTTCAATTAACTTCAGGTCGTTGTTTGTTTTAACAGGCCTTATCTACCATCTCAGATACTTCTTAATATGTCCGACCTTTATGTTCACGATTTAAGATTCCATTTGCCAGAATAAATTTAAAAAAAACCTCTGCATAAAGGCCAACCAACGTATATTTATATAATTATTTGTGGCCGATTTACGCACCGAACACTTATCTGCAAAGGGCACAAGCTACCAAGGAGAACTGCACACAAAGTAAGCGGTTTATCAAAGCGCAACATTGAAATTTAATTATCTCTATTATGATTGATCTAAATAATTCTATATCGGTGGCATCCCGTAAACAAATAGCGAACGAACAATGGGCTAATCCCGATAGATTATCGCTGACGAATTGTCGACAATTCATTATTTGGCAGACAAAGTTGATTATTCATCGGCAATGGCAAGACCTCACCACGTAATATATATATATATGTAATCATATATATATATATATATATATATATATATATATATATATATATATATATATATATATATATATATTATTAGGCTAACTATTATCAAAATATTCATTTTAATTTGTTCTATATTAAGTTTTTAAAACCCAGAATATTTACATGAAATTGTGGTGTAATATTGCAGGCTATCTAAATTTTAAAAGAAATATATAGGTTAGACTCTATCTCACGTGATAGTTTATTTACTGTCTGTCTCAGGTGTAAGACCACCATTTTAAAATAGAATCATTTAGGTCAAAAATGGTCTCATCATTGAAACGCTAATCTGGTGCTTTCTGGGTTTAAAGTAAATACGGCAAAATGTGACGAGTATCTGGGTCTGTATTTCAATTAATTTAAAGGAACAAAATAATTATAGAATGAATGTAATTGTGAGTGTTAAAGCAGACTCTAGACCGGCGATTCTCAACCAGTGTGCCGCTGCAAACAGGTGTGCAGCGAGATCTTCCTAAGTGCGCCACGAAATTTTGAACGGCACAATAAGAAAATGAAAAACCACGTGATCCCAATTGAATATTCACTGGTGTCTACTGAAGTTCAGAGCTGTGTTTTTCTTTATTTAGTTTGAGTCATTCTATGTGTCTATGACTAGTCTGTGTCTACGGTTGTATGCCGTCTAAGACTTGCGATTTTTTATTTTGCAAAATTCAAATATTTTTCATATATATTTAGCCAGGTGTGCCGTTATTTTTTTCATGTGTTCCAAGGTGTGCCGTTACCAAAAACAAGTTTGAGAACCACTGCTCTAGACAATTAGTGCCGAATTTAGCAATAAGCCAAAACAAGCTACAGCTTAGGCCATCAATCCGCAGTTGTCCCATGAACTTTCCGAAGTTTTTTCATTTGGTTTTGAAATTTTATGTTGCATTTAAGTTACTGTTTTGTGTGTTTACGATGCAACGTTTTATACAGTTTAACAATGGCTTTTCTGAGATCTTCTGAAAGGACATTTTAACAAAGTTAGACCAAGAAAGCAACCGTCATGGTCTTTAGTCACAAACACAGTAACAATGATAATGATTGAAAGGGCGTGGTAAGACCACAGAGATTTCACGACTATAGAGAGTTGTGAAATACGGTATGTCGAACTATTTCAATATACCCATAGATTTAATTTAAACTTCAACTTTATGGGGTACAGTTTACACTTATAAGTCTCTGGCATGGTACATCTGTAGATCATTATTCTTGCAAGCAAGCCATTATTTTAACCTGCACGGACTTTGATGATCTAGGGATGAGGAAATCTGGGGAGGGTTGGCGGGTGGCTTTAACTAAAAAGATAAAATCAAAGGTGCATTATGGGATAAAGAGTTGACAGTTTTCGCTATAATAGTTTAAAAAAAAGATAACATAAATAGAATATGCTAAACATTTCAGTCAATTTGCTCCACGCTGAACCGAATTATTAGCTTTTGAATTTTAGGTTAAACTCGATCATCATTACTAAAGTCGGTACGCTAAATATCGTAGGCTAGCGATGCCATCGAGAGTTGATTATGGTCTGGATCAGTTAATTAATGTCTAATTAATAATTTGAATAACATTTCAGGCCTAAAGAAAGATCTGTAATAGGCAGTTTTAGCTCTTGCATAATGTATGTTTATACCTTGAAATGGAAAACCCATAACAAACACGATAGCTTTATTTTTGTTAGAAATTTGCTACCTGTACGGATACTAATTTGTTTATATTAATCATTTTATTAATTCGTATTTCGTTAATGCTAAGGAATAAATTTAAAATTATCTTAGACTAATCACAACTGACATAAACGCAATGAACACGCACTATTTATTTACACTGTGTATAGTTGAACTGTTGTTTTTTTTTGCATCAACAGAAAATTTCTACACAAAGACCTTTTCATCTGAAGTATAAAAGGAAAATCAGATACCAAATTTAGGTTTCATTAGACTATACTTAAAAAGAAAGCTAACATTCTATTGTAAATATGATATACATGTTATATATAAACATTACTATGAATTTTGTTGTATATGATATGATATACTACGTTTGTTGTGTGTCTTGAGTAAAAGAGATTTACCTATATAAATACAATAACAATACTTATATTGTATCTAGCAACAGATACTATTTCAATCTTTAGCTACAACCTCCAGTGTACAAGAATATTGATAACGATACATGTCATATATAAAATGATATTTGAAGCAAAAATCCACAAAGTTTCATCTTTGTGTCAACATTGACCTACTTTTGGCCCAGGGGCACATCTGTTTTCTTATATAGTTGACCCGCTTTTTCAAATTGATATACTGTTATTTTGTTTTATATATCATTCAGATGTCACAATTAAAACCTTATACAGGTTGGGTCAGTATAAAGGATAATTCAGTGATAAATGAAAATGTGTAATTAAGCGTATTAAAGAAATAGTATCTGTTACTTGCTAAAATCTAATAAAATATGTTAGCACAGTCTTACAATAATTCATGATGACAGTAGAGATATAGTATAGGATTAATACCATATTATCTACATTAGTAACATGAATCAAAAACTATTAGTACAGGCCTTACTATTGTATCAGAATGTAACTATTGCTATTTATTCTCTAGCTCGACACTTATACAAAAAAAACATTTAACCTACATATCAAGAAAAATATATGTAGACTTTTGATAAATTGGAACAATGTAATTCCGCCACTCCCACTACCGCGGAACGCCATGGTTGGAACACTGGGTCCAGGGATCAATCCCCATGTTGACAGATAAAGGCACTAAGAAAAGGTTTCTAGTTTTCGAACGGCACGAAAGAACAAATTACCATTGGCAACACGCCACTAGCTAAACAAAATTTGGTTTAGAAGATAAATCACATATCATTTCGGTGTATTATTTATCGACATGAGAAATTTAATTTGTGCACATCTTACTACATCAGCTATTTCTAATAGTCAAATACATAACGACTACTGTTTAGATTTGTTTTCTTTCTTTGAGGGATGGATGGGTTGAAAATGAAATGGGATTTAACATCCTACTTTTCTGCACCATACGAGCTAATCTGGTTAAAATAAAGATCTACATTTCGTTTCGTTTTTGTATACATCCGATGGCCTCCGTGGCATGTAGTGGTCAGTGCATCACACCATGACATGATAATGACTTCAAAGGAAATACGCAGTGCAGTTACAGATACCATAATATATGACGACCACTCTTGTCTATTTTCCCTAATTATATATATCTTTATTGATCCTCCAAATATGAAGAGTATTACAAAACAGTTAAACCAGTAAGTCAGACTTGGAATAGAGCTCCTCCCGATTTATGTCTATTCCATGTTCTTAATAAAGGTCTACAATGTCTATCCACAGTTCAACACGATAAGAACTCTACTCAACACACAAACTGATTCCTAACCCATCACCTCAACCAACTCTTGCAGATCCTGGCGTAGTGAAGCCAAGGCATACGCCATGCAGTTTGCTTTGAGGGCGTTTCACCTTTCATCAATGATTCTATTACTATACGCCAATATGTACATGGGACATCGGGTTTTCGTCCCTACCAACATATTAGACGCTGTTCCTTGAACGACCCTCCGTCCTGCATCAGTGACAAGGTCCAACCACACTGGCAAATCCCAAGGAACTTTCTCAGCCATCAACAGGATCAAACCCGAGACACGTTTATGAACCATCGCCCTCAACCAATCCATATAACTAGTACGATTGTGCATTCGAAAGAATCTTCTCAACTCACTGTTCTTAGGGGTGACCGGATGTTGCTAGGTTGAAACTATCTTTGAACATTATCTTTGTCTGTCCCGTGGAGTAATCATTCGTAAAGCCAGCACATGACCGGTGCTTCAAAAATCAGTTTCGATACTGGAGAACTCGGGGTAGAGTGAGAGGTGGTTGGGGTAAGGTGTTAACTGTTAATGTTTGGAGGGCAGGGGTTTAGTTGGCACCAACAATTGCCGGTCTTTCGATGAATCAAGGACTTAATTCTTGGTTTGTAAAACGTGTATATTATGGAAGACTTTAGAGTACTGAACCACCATAAACGATTTTGATTTTTTTCCAGCGAACCAAAGGTTAGAGGACACGATCAGCTAATCCGTTATTGTAGAACTATTAGGTTTAGGCAATAATACGAGGACCGTCTAAGTTAAAATAAGTATATGTATACATATGTTACATTTTATTATGACATAGATATACAACATGTTAATAATATTAATACATATAGTTATAAATAATACTTATAAGATAAGATACAGTAACATTATAATGGCCTATAAAATAATAATATATTTATATAATAATATCAATACATCCTAAGTTATAGTATGTGAAACTAAATCATCTATAGAGGCTTGTCCATAAAAAACTTCAATACACTAGTACGGTTTTTAATTTAAAGATGAACTATTGGCACTTAAAATCGTCACACCAACAAAATGCACAATTTGTTTTAAAATGACTACTAATAGTGCTTACATAATTATATACTACGAAAGGATTTCCTGAGCAAATATGCCATTAATATTTCGAAGTTACCTGGATCAGTACGTAAACCATACGTGTTTGCATGTGATGATTGTGCGAATTTGAATCAAGTTGATACTTGGATTTCCGTTAGAAAAATAGTATGCAGATAATAATACCCGGGACATGTAATGTACATGTAATGTACATGTATATGCAGTGAACACATAGCTCTTAAATGACGACATATCTATTTATTATTATACATGTATAAACCAACAGCATTTAAAAGGGCTGGTAAAAGTATTTAACAAGAGTGAAAGGACTAAATGAATTTAAACACAAAAATTTAAAATAATTATTATGAGGTTATTTAATATAAATATAAATATTTAAATTTTGACTATTTGTTTTAAAGAAATATAATATTAATATATAAAACGTTCTTAAGAAATAATTTGGAATGTCAGAATGCGAAGTTTATTTATAGAGTTGTGGCATAATATATTCATCAAGTAAATGATCGAAATAAATGAATAAACTTAGCCGTAAGAAATGTAAAATAAAAAGCCCTGGAAAATGGAAATGCACCAATTGTCATGGAATGTTTTGATTATCTAATGTATTATAAAGACATAGATTAGATAGTTCTATTGTCATAGATACAGGTAAGTTGTCTTTTACGACCACATGCCATTGCAGCACATCCTATTCTTGTTATTGACCGTTCCATTATCTAAAACAGAAAATGTACATTTCTTATAAATCTATTTTAAAATGTTTATTCGCTTCACAGTATCAAACAAAGAAAAGTTATAAATTTAATCACAAAACATCGAAAATATTCTTCGATTTTATTAGTTTAGACCAAATGGATTTTTGGATTGAAAGACTTCTTACTTTTGTAAAAGAAAAAAAAACAACACAGTATTCTCTCTTTAGCAGTTTTAAAACAAATTATATTTTAATTACGTACATGACAATTTGACTTACATTTGTATTATGGTTACATTGTTGACTGTCACTTGGTGTTCTACAGCCTGATTCAAGATGGATATACACATCATCTCCTTCGTCACCCCATTCATATACTAACTGATACACAGGTTGGCTCTAGATATACATAGAGAGTGAGAAATGAGTTTAACGGCCACACAATACAACAGTTGTATATAAATGTATTTATTTTACGAATTAGCGTAAATGAAAGAGCGGTGTCAGAATTTGTATTTAAGGTACCTGTAGTTATAGACATATCTTTAGTTAGAATAACGGTATAATAACCATTTTCGTTAGTAGTTTAGGTAGTCCGGTATACACCTATCTTTATGACGGATAGCAATATAATAAGCATATTCGATAGTAATTTAGGTTGTTCGGTATACACCTATCGTTAGATACGCTGTTAGTATAATAAGCATTTTCGTTAGTAGTTCAGGTATTTCGGCATACACTAATCGTTGTCAAGGATAACAAAGTCGTTAGTAATTTCGGCTGTTCGGTATACACCTATCGTATGATGCGCTAACAGTATATAATAAGCATTTTCCTTATTAGTTAAGGTAGCTTGGTATACACTTGTAGGTAAGCAGTATAAAATATATTTCTTTATTCAAAACGTATCTAAAATATTTATCTGGTTGTCAAAATAACCAAAGTGTTAAATACAACACAGACAGAATGCATTTAAAGTCTTTTTTGTCAAGTTGTTAAATATTAGATGTAAATGTATCTCGTATACCAGACAGTTAAACAGACTAGCTAAGTGAAATTGGATACGCTATATTTATACCCTATCATAATGAGGACTATATTATAATACAGTTTGCCATATTGTAATTTGTAAAAAAAATATGCATAGACTCTTGTGACAAACATGTCTTAAACTTGACACAAATAAAGGCACACTTGAGAGTAAGTAGATTCGACAATACATTAACTTAATACTTATATATATATTAGGTAATCTTTAAAATGGCTACCAACAAACTGTCTTAGGCGTAATTAAACGACAATTAAAATTAAAAATAAAGGAAATAAATTAAGAAATTTTCAATGTAAGTTCAAAAGTGGAAATAACTTCTCTTGAACTTCAAAAAGGCAATACAGAGTCGGCGAATAATATGTAGATATAACGATCACATATACGTACTCTGTCTATTTTACCGAAGTTTGAGTATGATGTTTCTGGTCCTGGGTATTCAGTATCACATCTGATCACATAGGATGCCCATAGTTCTAAAATACTACTCCATGTCTGAAATACAACATATAATATGTATTTCTTCTTATGGTAATATTAACATTTTAGTTACAGTCTTTATATTAAGAAACGACGTGTCTATTTTACTGAAGGGTATCTAACATCATATCGAAATAAAAAGGAGCCGAATCTGTTAACTAAATCTGATGTCTTCCAGTTCAGCTAGCTAGCTAGACAAATATATTTTTCGCAGTCAATACTGAGCGATTTAGCTCACATTTGTTTTAAAATTCGACAGTATTATGCCCCGTTGTGTCTTTTATTTTGTTCTTACTAAAATGTGTATTTTTCAACTTACTAATTCGGGTAATCTCCGCCTTTCTCTCATTCTATTATGAACTAGAACAAGGTAATGTTGATCACTACTTGATAAAGGTCCTGAAGCAACAAAAATAAACAATATTAATATTATGTTTTTATTACATTTATATAGCGCATATTTCTCGAAGTATTCAGACGCGCTTTACAATAACAAAGTAAACATACAGTTTATGATATAGATAAAAGGTTATACACAACATTGTTTTACTAGTAATAAAAAAAGCAAAAGACTAAAGTGAGATAAAAGATTCAGTATCAATTCGTAGATTTTCCATTGTTTACCTTAGCAAGGTTGAGACCATTCAAATTTTAATGTCGACTATGGACTATTCAACATTAGACAATACGAAATGACTGTCAACAGCGGGTTTGAATAATAGATAAATCTAACTATCGTCAGGTTATAAATGGAAATACATCTATGTTTATACACTACATATACAAACAAGAGGCGGTGTATAAAAACTAAAGAGTACCGGTACCAAAATCGATCCCTGAAGAACGCAACAAGAAAGAATGTTTTAGGTGTGATCACCAACTATAACTGTTTGGTGTCGGCTTTTTAAAGTATGAAGTTAAAAGTTCACGAGTATTTTCTTTGATTTCGAACACATTCTATAATCGATTAAAGAGCATTGACACAATAAACTGGAACAAATCCTTGATCGACTTATGCCATACTAAACAAACAATTAAAAACCAGGTTGTTAGAGTTATACTTCAAGAAACAACACCTGGATTACAAACTAATTATTTTGAAAACAGGAAATAATTATTTAGAAAAATGAGTTAATTATTACAATAAAATGATCAGCCATGTAAAATTAAATATAAAGAATTGCGACAAATACCTGAAGACCATGCAGAAACTAATCATCAATCTATATATAATCTATAAACTAAACGTATATTATCTTAAAGAAAATAAGGAACTTAAGAAGTACCTTACCAACATGCATCAATTACTATCTCTAAACGAAAAAGAAGCAACTTAAGGTTTTTTTTTTTACCTGAATCGGGTAATATGGGCCCCACCACTGAATCGGCTGATTTGGGTGGATTAGGTTCTATAATATTAGATGGTGATCCAGCACTATCTGTAAACAATAGACTACACAATAATATATAAATAACACATTTATAAAGACGTATCTGCATTTTAAACCAGTTACTGGTATCACAAGCAAGAGAAAATTGTTGTCAGTATATATGAAGTGCAGCGTGCATACTATCACTAATTCCCTTTAGTCCACACTTTTCATTCTGCATTATGGTCGATCAATAAAGAGGTACTGGCTTCGACGTGACATGACCTAGTAAGAATTTGAAATAATTCTATTATTTTTGTAAATATATATTCACAAGATGGAAAGGTTAAACGAATCTGTCACACTATGCTTAATTGTGATAATAGCAGTAGTCTTTAGTTATATTCATTTAGGAGTATGATCGTTCAGATTGTGAATGTAGGTTACTTGGCATTGAAACATATGCATAGCAGCAACCCCCGCTCTAAGCTGTGTAAATTAAGTTCAGTCTTCGGGTGTAGAGGTTTTTAGGGTTCATTATCCTTATTATAATTCGAACCATCCACACTCAAAAAACCTCGAACGATGACGGGTTTTCGTGGCAAACGCAATAACTGACGGACTAACGAACTGACGATAGCAGTGGCGTCAATAAACCGGTGGTCATAAAAAATAAATTCTGAGCGATAATTGCTTGTATTTTATTGTTTTGTTAGGAGTTCGTTGACATTTATAGAGTGAAATATATAGTATAGAAAGGCGCAATTAATTTTCACCATGTTAGCTATTTTTCTCTTACGTTCATATAAAACTTATAGCACTTTTATATATTTACTAAAGACGATAAAAACTAGTACCCCAATATGTATAATCTTTGTGTCTTAAATAGACAACGTCCCTCGTGAAGGTAATCTATACGCATGTTTTAGTAAAGATCAACTTACTTGAGTTGGAACATAAATTTTGTCGACACTGGGTACCTCGTGGACACTGTGAACAGACCGGACCTCTCTTAAAGGGATAATCACCAATTAGCTGACCCCTGTAAATAATAACAGGTGAACTTTAATTGACCAACTACCTGCCATAGAACGCCCGCCATATTGAATTACAGGCGGACGTTTTCTTTAAACCTTTTGATTTTCAGAATGGTTAAGATCAACAGTTGAAAGGACAGACCCTGCTATGGTGCTTAACATCCGCCCCACCGCTCTATTATTATAATTTTGGTATGAGCATATACAACATTGTCTGCAGATAAATGATATCAATTGGACGATCGAGACAGAACTATTATGTTAGTGTGTGTAAAGAAAAACAACACGACCATCGCCTAGCCATATACCACAAACAATACAGGGAAATGCAACATATATGAGAAAGAGAGAGAGAGAGAGAGAGAGAGAGAGAGAGATTTTAACGTCCACTCGACACAAACTAGGTTATTTCGGGACTAACACATGGTTCAATTTTATTTCAGTAATTCGCTTGCGCGTAAGGGTCTTTAACAGTGGGAGAAAACCGAAGGACCCGGAGAAAACCCATGAGGTTGGTGATAATACCATAGTATTTTAACAGACTAGTCATTGTAATTTTTTTTTTAGCCAATTATCTAATCATCTGATTATATTTAACAATCAGGCTAATTTTTAAAGATTTTTTTGTGGGTTAAGTCGTGGGAAGGATATAGGTCTTTAATTTCATAAAAAAAAACGCAGGAAATAAATACGAGATTTTGACCCGGTGGTTGGCACTTACTTTGGTGCGTAAAAACAGACAAATAGAGAAACATGGCGACGTTGTGTTCTACCATACGTCATAGTTCGGCATCTGTTTAAACCACAACCAACTTTATAACTATCTGCTAAAATCATCTGCAATATAAAATAATTTATTGGTACAAACATAATTAAAAGTAAGAAAAAAAAAAGGAAATGGGTTTCACGTCCCGTCAACACAATACGTCGGAGACTACATCTATTTCTGTGGTCACGTGTGCAATGCTAGGAAGGGCAATTTTGCTCTTCCACCGAATTCTAAATGACTAGGACCTCCGTTTTAATTTTTAATTTACATCCGAAAGGCTAGGCATCAGTGTGCGTGCTAGCCCCACACTGACAAGTAGGAACCGTGCCAATATACATACGTTTTTAAATAATATGTAAACCGCAATCTTTTTGATAAAAACCGTGTACATGTATTTCATTTTGTTTCAAATAAATATACGCGTCTCAAAATGCGGTTTGTCGATATAGGGAATGGGACGGGGTACATAACTCATACGACGTTCGTATGCACAGAAACTGTCGTGTAACTGATGTTTTTTTAAACACCATATTAAACTTATGCAGTCGGTCTACAATTAGCTCAGTTTGAACACTAAGCCAGTTGACCGAAATTTGAATTCCTATAAATCGACGATTTTAGTCGAAAACACTACGTATACTTTGCGAATTTTTATAAGTATTTATTCCGCTTCCATTTAATAAAATTGAACAAGTTTATTTAATCGTTAGGTGTATGACAGCTGTGAAATGAAGTAGAACCGTATTACAAAGTATTAGGGGGGTTGGATGGCCGAATGGTTAGCACGTGCGCGCTGTATCATAAGGCCTGTCATTGAGTCATCTGGCGTGGTTTCGAATACCCGGTTGTACGTGACAAGGAGTAGGGTCGCCTGTCCAACCTCGTGGGTTTTCTCCGGGTCCTCTGGTTTCCTCCCACTGCTAAAGACCCCTACGCGCAAACGAATTATTGAAATAAAATTAAACCATATGCTAGTCCCGAAATGACCTAGTTTGTGTCGAGTGGACGTTAAACCCCATTTCGCTCTCACTCTACAAAATAGTATACTAATTTTTGGATATGGCGGCGATTCCGGGCAGAGATCTATTCTCGAAGGAGATAATTCTCTGTATGCAGAATATAGTAAACATTATCGGATGTATAATCTATTTATTTATGAGCTGTTTACTTTTATATATGAGGCCTGTCTGGAGAAAGGCAAATCGACAAGTTGTTCAATTAATCTATATCAAACCACCGACGGTAAACCAACACAAAAACGAATATGTGGGTTGAAGAATTATGTACTTAATTGTCTACCGGAAGTAATTCAACTGAATGAAATCAGTGTCAAAAGTTTCTATCAGCAGCGTTCACATACCATCGATTTAAATACTATAAAACTAGACACATTCCCATGGTGAAATTAGAAATAATTGTTGATGGTAGTCGTCATCACGTATGACCATGCATGTATTTATCGAACATTGACAATAGCACGAAGAAACCTAGTTGTTTGTAAATTACGGAAGTTTACACTTGGAAACACACGGAAGTAGAATTTAATTTATCATAAGTAGTTATTTCTTTAGCGGAAAGAATTACTTAATTATATTTTCAATCGTAAGATATTGAACCAGGAATAGTCCCCTTTCGCATATTTTTATGGAAAATCTTGGCTTTGTAAAGAACCCGTTTTATGAGCTACACATTAAATGAACGATATGAGTACCAGAGTCAAGACTGTTATGTAAGTGCACTCACAAATAATACTGGTCAATGCTAAGACATTACAATTTAGCTTACCTTAAAGGTTATTGTAATTGGGTTGGCCTATTTGAAGGGTGTTGTAACCGAAGGTAGGCGTGGTATTGTAATGGGGCTGACTTGTACATAGGGTATTTAAATTTTGCTTATCTGTACACCTAACCTCAAAGGCTCTTTTTATGGAGCGTAACAGTAAACAGGGTATTGTAATGAAGCCAATCTCTACAAAGGATATTTTTTATGGAGCTTACCAGTATACAGGGTAAATGGAAGTAACCTTTACAAAGAGTATTTTTATGGAGCTTACCAGTAAATAGGGTATTTCAATAAATCTAACCTTCACAAGGGGTATTTTTTATGGCGCTTACCATTAAACAGGATGTTTAAATGAAAGTACCCCCCCCCCCTAAAAAAAAAGGGCATGCCCCTCCGGCTTACCAGTAAACAGGATATTTCAATAAAGCTAACCTTTATAAGGGGTATTTCTATGGAGCTTACTAGTAAACAGGGTATTTCAATAAAGCTAACTTTAACAAGAGGTATTTTTATGAAGCTTACCAGTAAACAGGCTATTTCAATAAAGCTAACATTAACAAGAGGTATTTTTATGCAGCTTACCTGTACAAAGGAACAAGCACTACCACAGTCTCTACCATATCTAAAATATTGCATTTCTCTATGCCAATTATTCATTGATCTACGAATACTTTTACGTATAGAATGCCAGCTCTTGACATATCCTGATTCGAAATGCAAATTTTCGCCATGATCTGGACTTCGTTTTGGACGTTGATAATTACATTGTTGAGCATAAGTTGATGCTTGAATAGCTAAAGATTCATCCCATTCCTGAAATACATAAGTAAGACTAAAACAAAATATAGTTCAACATATAACGATTGTGCTGTGCATTAGTACCTGCTTATATCCGGCGATACATAGTATCATTTTATAGATTTTCATTTTTCTCTATTGTAGAATGGTATATAACATTTTAGTGGTGTGCCAATTTCTGCGATTTATACTAACAAAACACTGATTGCAGTACCCTATAAGACTAAAAATGCATTATGTATAAGCTAAATCTGTCTGTTGCAGGTATTCTTGTTTTAGCTCCAAATCTTATACCAATTATAAGTTAGACATTAATTCACATCTTTAGACCACCGGATGGCCATGATCTGATTAAAACACAATCACCATTAAATAAATTGATGTAATTTTTGGTTCTGTGACTTATACTAGAATAGATTTGACGTATATCTTAGCCATGACATGCCGTATATTGACACTTGGGTGAGGGATCATGATTAAGTCCTGCAGATCTGAAAATGAAGACAGCTAGCAACAACCAAGAACTAATGGGAAAGGGACTGGTGTTCCTTACAAAGGGTATCTGCCAAGTTTCATACGATTATGTTTGCTAATGAGCGAGGAGTAGCACTTAAGAGTAAACTGACACAAACCCAAGAACGAGAACATGATCAATATTTAGACACCGGCCGTGGCACCAGTGTAAAAAGTTCATTTTATGTCTGGCCAAGATAGTAACTGGTGACAGAATAATGTTAAAAGGCTTCATGGTAACGGTTAACGTATTGACCTTGGGATATGCTAACATATAAAAAAGTTCCCGTTGCTCGTGTTGCACTTTCTTATATTTTTCTATTAATTTTCTAAATTCATTTAGCGGATTAAATAAAACAAAGACCGATTAATTGATTCTTCATATTATGGAAATATTAATCCGGGGAGAAAATTATTGATCTAGTTAGGTGCATGAATAGTTAATCAAACTAGTTTAGTTTTCTCGTCACGTCACGTATTCTTCACCGGGATGGAGGCTAAACAAAACCAATTGATCTGAGGGCCCACAGCTACCTAGCACACCCCGGACAATTTTAATACGGGGTTAAATGCGGAATCGTGATTATAAATGGTTGCAAACTGCAAATTTTTTAAAACCGAAACCGAAATCCGAGAAAATTGGATACTAGCCAAAATCAGTCATCAGTCCCACTAAGGCTGAGAGCCAACAAGCAGTCAGTACATTGAGCGCGATTGGTTTTTAGTATCGCTGGATCTGCTTAGAATAAGGGAATGGCAGCAAGAAAAGAGCGCACAATGTTGTCTACAGGTTCATGGGAATATGATTACAATTGACGCGGGCATTTCCACGAGCATTTCAGGTAAGTCTATCGAAAATGAAGGGCACTTTTCAGAAATAAGGGTACTTTTTCAGAAATGAGGTCACTTTTCAGAAGAGAGGGCACATGGCCACACACACACACACATCTATACCTTGATATGAAATTTCATCGGATTCGAGTATTATCAAACATTTCCTGTTTCTTTTAGTTATGCATTGATGAAAGCAGGGGCCTACCCATGCATACCCGCCCAGCACTCCTCTGTATTTCCGTTTTATACATTCTATATGAACTTAGTTTATCTCCACTTGCTTTATTCTTGTCTTGTCATTCAACAGATTAGAGTTCCACGTGTCCTTCGCTCTATCCCAGATTGAACACGATAGTTTAGTTATATCACAAATATTTTCTTATCTTGTAGAATGCCAAGTTGTTTAACCTAGACTAAATGTGCGGTAATCCCATGACGATTGCCGCTTTATTGACCATTTATGGACAACTTTACAAAACATTGCTGAAATTAGAATTGGTTCTATTCCACAATCAAAAAAGTTATATTTTAATTATGTCACCCCTTGGAGCCAGTCCATACCCCACAACCCCCGTGGCTATATTTTTTTTTACTTAATCTGGTAAAAAAAATATACATGAATTAATATGTAAATTAGTAATGCACTTATGTACATTAGTAACCCAAATTCCTGACGCATATATTATGCAAATATAGCCCTCACAAGAGTATCGTATAAATGTGTATATATACTTCATAACCTAATCCTCCACATTTTATAAACTTTGTTTTAACAACCCCAAGAGCTCAATTAGCCGATTTAACCAATCATAATCACAACGTTCATTTAACCACACACCCAAATATTTAATGACTACAGTACTTTTAAATACTTATAAAGTTGGTAATTCCACAGCATTATAGAAGTTCACCACACTTCAGTCAAATATCTGACAAGGATCTGTAAATACATCACTAGATTTTTCCTTTGTTGTAATAAGCAATTTTGAATTTGAATGTGTTTCAGGATAACCCGCTGGCTAACATAAAAAAACGGACTGTGCTTTACTTCCGCCATGTACTAAGACCTTGCGGAACAAGATACGTCGCGCTCACTACGTTGGCATAATGTGGGGTAAAGCCGACTTAACGAATCCAACTGATGGCATAGAACCTGCAAATTATGGATGGAAGATGGAAAATGGTTGCTTTGTTCTTGATTGGTTCGAGGGGCCAGCCACACCAACAAATCTTTTTCATGTCGGGGAAGAGACTGCGGATCGACAGGCAGTTGGCAATGTAGTAGTTGGGGCTTAATACGATATGCAGATGCCTATATGGTCAGATATTGGTACCTCGTTCGACCCTCTGGGCTCACGGTCTAATAGTATAACCGCATGTAAAGGCAGTATTACTCCTGTCAGATATCAGGGTTTCTAAAATGAATATTCTCAATTTACTATACCAGACATTCAGAATAAGTATCTTAGATATCATCAGGAGCTTACAGAACAATATCATCAGCATATCATAGTATCGTCAATATTAATACCACAATTTGCACCAATTAGAACATTTACCAAATCATTGACATATACTGAGAACAAAGTAGGCAAAAAAACACAGCCTTGTTTGACGCCTTGTGAAACTGACAACTATTCAGTCATGTAACGTTATCGTACATTTAGGATCGGTTTAATAATCCCTTTTAACCACTGACCAAGGACAAACGAGTTATGAAAGCGGCACTTTATGATTTGATATAAAAGCTTAACACAGGTATCATTGCTTATAATTGGACTGAAATTTTCTGGTCTTTATCTAAATCTTATATCTTTAAGCTGGATATTAAACAATTGATCTATAAATCGCCATTTTCATATATCCTGTTTCCTAAATGTGGCTCGTGCTACGGACTTCCTGTACATGTATTAATAACAAACATAATATCATCTTAAAATAAACTCCTGGTTAAATGATAGGCTATATATATTTATTTATTATTGGAGGCATGGTGTGTGGAATGTTAAGTACATATAACTCATACGTTCCGTATTGAACATAAATCAGACATGTTATTGTTCAATTTCCTAACATTATTTAATACTTTATTAGATTATAACAGATTTCTAAACTTAAGTTTCACTTACTCGCTTGTTTCTAGCTCTTACAAAACAATATGTGCATGCAGCTTGTATCAATATTTTGGGATCTTTAGCATGCGCCAACTCAGTCCAACAATTGTGTTAATTCTTGCCTCCAGCACAGGACCGTAAAATTACTGGGATAGATTGAAAGCCCCCAAAACGTTTACTTCTTAACCGCCAAGAGTATGACAATCTCTAAATAAAGTTATATAAGTACACATACCCACCATGTTCACGACCCAGAGAACTATGTCACCTAATTTTTTTAAGTGAATTTAAAAAGGGTATTACAAAATATAAAAAAATGAGACAAGTGTGATACATGCTCTAGGTTTTTATTGCCTTAAAGGGTAAAACATGCACGGCTCATATCAAGTGGTTTGTAACGGTTTATTCCCGCGAAGGCGCAGTTATTGACCGTAACGGATTAAAAAAGGTCGTTTTCGACGACTTCGCGGGAATCCAGCCCTAAGGATTAAAATGGATTAAAAACGTAACAATGGTGTTATAGATTGTTATGATAAGAATTTACACTTTCATAATCCCCACTGTAACTAATTAACCAACATTTTAGCATCAGATAAGAAATAAAAAACATAACTATACTATAATATTACGAAAATTAATTTAATTTCGCCAAATAAATAAAAAACATAACTATACTATAACAAAAATTAATTTAACTTCGCCAATAAAAACAACTATAATACTAGAACTGCGAAGCAGTAATGACGGGTTTCACTGGTGCCACGTTACCCTTGAACTTATGTCACTTCCGGTACCAATGAAACCGTTAATAAGGTTTCCACATAAGCATTGCACACATGAAATAAAATGGACGCAGAAACAACCAAATCCAGCAATCAATTCATTTGCTACATGTCAGTGATCCTGTCAAAATTACATTACTTCCGGTGATAATGAAAATGTTAAATTGGTTTATGAAATCAGAAATAGCATCATCACATGGTGAAAATTTTATGTAAATCCTATAATAATTGCCACCTTTATAGACCAAAAACCTTGAAAAATGACTTGTAGAAAATCGCCTATTTCTCTGCAACCGTACAAGTTAGAAACCATTTTGAGGTATCTGTATGATCGAATGAGTTCATTCTATTTGTTGATTGGAATCAAATATCATAATTTTAAAAACATTACAAATCTGATTCATTTGAATAAAATATCTGTTTTGAAGGCTAAAAATACAGTTTTTGCCAAAATGACGTTACTTCAGGTGATAATGAAAATCTTAAATTACTTGTATGAAATCGTAAATGGCATTATGTATCACACAGTGAAAATTTCATGAAAATCGAATAATAATTGACACTTTTATTGACAAAAAACCTTAAAAAGTGACCTGTTGAAAATTGCCTATTTCTCCGCAACTGAACAAGTTAGAAACCATTTTGTGATATCTATATGATCGTAAGGGTTCATTGTATTAGTTGATTTGAATCAAATATCACAATTTTAAACAAATAACAAATATGACTCATTTGAATAAATTAGTGGTTTCGAAGGCTATAAATACAATTT